AGAAAATTACAATTTTCAATTGTTTTAATAACTTATTAAATTTGAGATATGTTTCACAGTGTGCCCTTTAATTTCGACTTTGGTATGGTTGTCGCGCATGTAAATGACATGGGTACGTTTATGACACGGTTGCCACGCGTGTAAAACGTGCGTCAACCTTCTTTTTGTTTCAGTCATTGAACAGCTTTATTTGTGGAGTGCAGAGCGCGCGCAGGGGCGCACGTCCTCAAACAAAGCGGCGCGGCGGTCCGACGGCAGCGGGCTGCGCGAGACAACAGAATCAAAGCATTCCTTCGAGGCGCACCGAGAGGAGGGGGAGAGGGAGTCACGACGGAGTGGAAAAAATCATGGTTTACTACGCGAGATATGTTTGAAACAGACGACCAGAGACAAAAACGTCATTGGATTATTTGTCTTAACGGTTTCAAACGGTACTGAACTTTTTAAAGGAGAACACAAAAATATTTGTATTTTATTAGTCCAGAAATGTCACGCATCCTTAAGTCTTAGCTTATGACCAGTCGCACGCGTGGTGTCCATTTTCTACTGCTCGGACTAAAACTCTTTAACCTGTACTGAGTGCTTACCCAATAGTGTGGACCCCCTCGGTCTACCCCCGGCGGGGCCCGCGGGTGGGGGGCGAGGAAGGGGGTGTCAACAGGACGCCCAAGCCGCATTCCAGGAGGCGGTGCTGGAGAGCCCTGGAACAGAAAGAGAGAGGGCCTGGCGTTACACACACACAGTCACACTCGCGGGGCAGGGTGTCCCTGGCTGTCCCTGCTGGGCCGGGGCCCGGCTCAACGGTGTCCTCCACCACCACTACCACTACCTCCACTATCACTACCACCACCACACATCCGCTCGCGTCCGCTCGCTAGCCAAGGCGTAGTGGTGTGCACTTGGTCGGATGGATCTTGGTCGGGCCCTCCCGAGCCGGACGGGTCAATAAACCGAGGCTAGGCTGGGGCAGCTCAGCCGGCTCAGCTGCGGCGGGCCCGTAGTGAGCAGCCGTCGAATCATTTTCTACTGTTCGTTGGAGCGCGTCTCTTAGGAGCACAAGTCAGGTCGGTGTGGGTGTTGCCTGCCCGCTGTTCTGCTTCCCCGCAGCTCCCCCATACGACCGCCATACGCCAGCTCAGCTCTGGAGCCACTGCCGCCGTCCGGTCCAGTTCACTTCCGCCCCCCCCC